CTCCCCAAAACCCCAAAACCCCAAAACCCCAGAACAAATGTCAGATGTTGAAATCATGAATCATAAATTCTAAACTAAAATTAACCAATACTTCTGAACTAATTATAACATTTAAAATCTTGGGTGGGGCTAGCTTTAATAAATCCTCTGTCAAAAGATTAGGCTAAGAGATCAAGCTCTCTCTGACCAAGTTACTCGTCTTCTAACAAAAATTTTAAGCTTTTCCTTCTTCAGCCACTCTATTTGTCAAGATTCAAAACTTTATTAGTAATAAAAAATGCGCAATTTCGAATATTTCAACTAAGAAAGCAAACCATTTCCCTAGACTTGCAATTCCAAAGAAATTGGTGATGCTAAACGAGTGTTTTCATCAACCTCTTCTCCTAAAACAGCTACCCCAGTCTATTCTGAGCCATCGTGGCTCTTAGATATAACTTATAGATAAGAGCTTGCCTAAAATTAATCCTTCCAAAACAAAGTGATGAAAACATAGCAGCCAAGTTGTAGGGGTACTACTAAACATGGATAAGCACGAATAGCACTGACCCTAACTTTTGTTAACAGATTAATAATCTGTAAGAGACAAAGCAGCTATATGCTTAGATTTTAAATTCCCGGTAATTTCTCTCCCGTCCCAATGCAGAACAGTTTAATTGAGGTTTTAACTAATTAGGAGATGTTTAAAGCCAAAAAGAGCCATAATATGCCTTTTTAGCGATTTTAAGAATAATTTAGGGGGTTTATATGGTACCTAGGCCTTAGATTTGGTTCATATGGGGTTTAAACTTTTAGTATGAGATGAAAGGATCTTTTAAAAAGGCTACTTTTTTGGTAAAAGAATGCAATAGGTGGTGGTTTATATATCTCGAACTTAAATTTATCTCTTTTATCACAGAAATATGCAAGATTGCTGTTTAAGTTTGTTTGCCCCTAAAATAAATCCTAAAGAAGTTCTCAAAATAGTTAAAATTTAATTAAGTTTGTTAAAGGAGAAGAACGATTATGACAGATTGTTATGAAAATAATTTTACTCTTTTAGCGCAGTATTATTTGTAAGAGAACTTATGCTCCTACTTGCGCCTTTATAGCTTACATCCAACCCTGCAAGAGTTTGGATTTATTTATAAGCAATTTAAAAAACTCTGCTAAAAAGTGATTTTTGTGGGAAATCAACTTCAGCAATGTTAAAGAGCTCAACGAATTGTTTGATCCAAAGCAATGTTTCTGGGTCCTTCTGAGCACTAGTGGGGCTGTCCGTTTGAGAGAACTCCAAAGTATTAAGCTTATAGTTCCCATTGCTCAAGAAAATAGAGCTCTTAGAGATTTGGATATCCACTATTCCTTTAGAGTGGCAGTACTCAATAGCATTATATATATCAACAACCACTTTTTGCCTCTCTGAAGGTTCGATAGTACCACTTAATAATAGTTTTTCTAGTGTTTGAGTGTATTGTTCGGTTTGAATGAACACCAGTCCTTGCTCCTTCCAGCATCCAAAGTACTTCAAAATGTGGGGGTTTCCGTTCCTAATAGAGCTAAGGTGGTAAATGTCCTTCTTATAGTCTCCTTCATAATTTTCAGAATCAATTACAGTGACACTATATGTATTCCGGTCAACTTTGTTTTCACAAATCAAGTGGAATTTCCCGGGACACTTTTTGGCTTCAGAATTTGAAATCATCGATTCAGGAAGAGGCATTTCTAATTCTTTGATCTGGAAGTCACCCAGAAACCTCTTGCAAGCCTTGAGCCTCGATACCAAGTAGGTACCAATAGTTTTTGCGAGGGTTGATAACAAGTCAGAGGATGCCTTGACTTGGGGAATCTTAGACGCACCCAAATCCTCAACTTCAGAGCAGCAAGGGTTGGAAGTATTCACCGTCTTAAGTTTAGATAGCCCGCTCTTGATCTGGAAGCCAAAGTCGTCGTCATCGTATCCTTGGAGCTGGCCAGATGGATTATTAAGAGATTCAAAAATGTCAGCTGTCGAGTTTTTGGTATTCAGGAATTTATTTTCTTCAAACTTCATGGAAGGATTCCCCCCAAACTTCATGCAACATTTGGAGAGCACATTAGTGAAGTCTGCCTTGTCATCTTTGGAGTGAAACTCTATAGAGTCAGGAGAAAGACAGTCCTCATCTTCCTGACTCTTCAATCTCTTAAAAGTTTTGGCCATATTTTGGAAGTCTAAAACAAAATAAGTCAGTATTAGGTGAAAAGACACTCAAATTTAAACATGCTCATCCCAATTTAAATTCTCTTTTCAAAGTGAAATGAAGCGGGGAAGTTAACTTACCTTCTGCAGAAGAGCTATTTTCAAATTGGAGCCTTCTCTGGAAGGTCCTCTTCCGAGATTTGACTGGAGTGAGTCCCTCTCCAAAATCATCTTGACTCTGGTAATCACCAGATAATTCATTCTCTCTGACTATAGTACAAGTTAGGAGCGGTTAAGTTTAAAATTTCGTAGAATTCAACTTACAAATATTGAAACCCAGGTCGAGGTGGTGGGGCTCTGTCTTGCTGAAATCTCGGAAATCGGTGAATTTTTCGGTAAAATATACATCTGCTTCCTCCATCTTGCCGAACGTATAGGACAAGTCTTGCTTCTGAGGCTTTTGTATTTGATTAATTTTGAATTTCATATAAAATAATTATAAACCTGATTGTTCTATTTGTTCTCGCCGTTTTGGGGTTTTGGGGTTTTGGGGTTTTGGGGTTTTGGGGTTTTGGGG